TGTGGTCACCAGAGTTGGACACAACTGAGTGACCAAACCACCACCACCAGCAGTCCTCCTCAGGTTACACTCAGCCACCCCTTCTCACACCGCCATGGTGATCATGAGCGCCTCCGCACCCCCCAGCTCCAGGAATCGCAATCATCATTTCTCTCTCTATTTAGAACAACTGAGTAGCACCCTTCTATTTATTACAGCTATGCAGCAGTCAAGCAGCAAAGTGCGTGCAGTGTCCCTGAGTGGGAGTGAGCTCGTGCTGACATCTCACGCTACAGCAGATTCTACGGGTTTCACCAGCGACTCACCAGTAAGAGAATCTGCCTGCAATGCGGGAGCCACAAGAGAGGCAGACTTGATCCCGGGGTCAAGAGATCCCCTGAGGGAGGAAATGACAACCCACTCCCGCATTCTTGCCTGGAAAATGCCATGGACAGTGGAGCCTGGCAGTCTGCAGCCCATGGGGTCACAAAGGAGTCTGACATGACTAAGCGATGGAAAAACAATAGAAAAATCAGGGATGGTTTGTTTATATTTGCAAGAGGGAGTGTTCTCAGTGTGATAAAACTGTTCTGAATCCTGATCGATATAACGGTTACCTGAATGTACGCTTATATCAAAATTCATAGGATTTTATACTGAAAAAGCCCATATTGCTCTAGTCTAATAGAAAAAGTCAGCAAGTGGAAAGTGTAGATAATGAAAGACTGCATATACAATTAGGCAGTGCTCAGGTCATACATGACAGTAGAATTCTGATGCAGAGTCCCTGCACCAACTAGCGCGGGAAGCCACACCACAACGTCTGGTCACAACTTGGTCAGGGATAACCAGCCTCCCTGTCTGTTGTCCCCACTTTTATCTCTGGACAAATAAGAGCAGGCCAGACTGATCGTATAGGAGGCTCTGCCTTTAATTAGCCCACCTCCAGCTTCCCCGCCAACAAACTTGCATCAGGGCACGTCGGAAGGATTCTCTTTTCTTCCCTGTAGTTTTCCCAGTCCCTGTCATGCTCTGGGTGTCTGTCAGACATAATGATGGTGGCTGACTCTCTTTTGCTATGGCAAGCTCTGGATAAACATGGATTTCTTTCTTATATGGGTGATATTCATTCATTTCTACAATAGCATGCCATCATTTGGGTTAAAATAGAAGTAAGACAGGATGTGTGTGTGTGTGCGTGTGCATGCATAGGATACAACTAAAAGTATAAACACAAGCAATAGCTGCTATTCCCCAACGAGGGAACTGGTTGGCTAGGGAACAGCGGGACTAGTGAGACTGAATTTTCAGAGAATTCTCTTTTGAATATTTTAGATGCACCCCCTCTCAATCAAATCAATGAATTAATTTAGAGCTAAAACCTGAAGCTCACTAAACTATGAACATTTCATGATTAAACGGAAGTTTATTTATTATTCAAATTTACAGATGGTGGAGAAGGAAATGACAACCCCCTCCTGTATTCTTGCCTGGAAAAGTCCATGGACAGAGGAGCCTGGCTGTCCTTGGGGTTACATGACTGAGCACCTGTACATGAGGGTGGAGGGAGATGGGTTGGTAACAATAAACTGATAGAACTAAAAAAAAAACAATTACAGATGAATACAGATAGTTTCAAAAAGTAACTAGCTTGAAATGGGAAGCTATGGTTTAATGGGTATAATGTTTCAGACTGGGAAGAGGAAAGCATTTTGGAAATGAGTGATGTTGATGATTGCACATCTGTGCCAGTGTACTTAATGCCACTGAACTGATACTTTAAAATGCTGAAATGGGAAATGTTATGTATATTTTACCACCAAAAAATACTACTCTCTCTCTCTCTCTCTCTCTCTCTCTCTCTCTCATATATATATATATATATATATATATATTTTTTTTTTTAATAGCACTAAGTCTCTTGTGATCCCATGAACTGTAGCCTGCCAGGATCCTTTGTCCATGGGATTCTCCAGGCAAGAATACTGTAGTGGGCTGCCATTTGCTTCTCCAGGGGAACTTCCCGACCCAGGAATTGATGAACCCTGGTTTCCCACATTGCTGGCATATGCTTTAGCGACTGAGCTATGTGGGAAGTCCATTATACTTAGTTATAAAGTATTTGATAATTTGGGCTCCCCAGGTGGCTCTAGTGGTAAAGAACCTGCCCAGCAATGCAGGAGACATAAGAGACTCGGTTCTATCCCTGGGTTGGGAAGATCCCCTGGAGGAGGACATGGCAGCCCACTCCAGTGTTCTTGCCTGGAGAATCCCATGGACAGAGGAGCCTGGTGGGCTACAGTCTGCGGGGTCACAAAGAGTCAGACACACCTGAAGCAACTTAGCATGTATGCATATCTGGTAAGTTGTTTAACAGCTCTGAGTCTCATTTGCCCCATGAGTAAAATAGGGACAAAACCAGTTTGAGGAAATTGCGGAAGATTCATTACTAATTCATGTGTGCAGCTCCTGTTGTATATTAAGTGTATCATCTGGGCAGGCCACTTGCTGAGGAAAAGAGAACCCCACAGTTTTCACAGCTCACAGACAGTGGATGTATCTTTCTTGCTCACAGAACAGGTCAGAGGGGACGAATGAGTGAGCAGTGGCCCTCCTTCATGCCATCCTCAGTAACCCAGACTGACAGTGGGCCTGCCGTCGTCAACATCTGGCTTCCCAAGTCTCCCTGAGCATCACCTCTATCCGCCTGGCTCTGACGGGGAAGCACCCAGAGGAGCACAGAAGGAGGTTTGTGAGCTCTGCTTGGGAGTGAAACCTGTCGCTCAACTTCCGTTCTGGAATGCCAGATTTAGCAAAATAAAATACAGAGCAGGCATCCTGTATTTTAACAAGTTAAATTTGAATTCCAGATAGTTAAGACAGTTTTTTAGTATAAGGCATGTGTCCTATACAGTACTGGGGACATATTTATACTAAGATGTCATTTATCTAAAAGGCAAATTTAACTGAGTATCCTGTATTTTATTGAGCAATCCTAGAGACACATTCCATTGGTTAGAACTCAGTCAAACAGGCCATGTCTGAATACAGCAGAGACTGGGAAATGTAGTTTAGCTGTTTCCTATAAAGAATAGGATATGGACTTTTTAAGCAACTAGCAGTCTATGCTGTGTGAAGAAATGAACAAAATTTAGGTCCGTTCCCTTTCTCAGAAGTCCAGGAGTTATGGGACCTACGGAACTCCTAGAAATTAGTGGTTCCTGAGCTATGGCATGCATTAAAACCTCCTGGGATGCTAGCTAAAAGATTCACATCTCTTGCCCCTGCCTCACCCCATCCTTTCAAGTCTGGGGGCTCAGAATCTCCCTTCCTAACCAGGTGGCTCTATGGCAGGCAGCTCACACCTTGAGCTCTCAGGAACTAGACGTATGTACATGGAGAAAGTGGGAGAATCATCTGACATTCCAGAATGAAGCCGTCTGTCTGCGGGAGGGCACCAACTTTAGATGTTTGCATCATGATGGAGAGGGGCGTACTTCTCAACCAGGGTGTGCAGGAGACTGAGCTGGAACACTGGCCTTGAACTTTGGGTTCAGGACACGATTCAAACACCTGCCAAAACTGGCTGGGCGTAAGATCTGCCGCTTGGCACAAGTCCTTGATAGACTACAGAAATAAAACAACAAGAAGACCACAACACCACTCAGGCGTTTTCCATCAGAGTCAGACAGCCCTGGCATAGACTGTCCTCTGAGCTTCATGTTGAAACTCCAGTGGGGCATCCACACAGCCTCTAATAAGCCACCTCCTAGGAGTGATTTGAGTCTCGAGGCTGATTGCTGTCTCAGGCAATTTAAAGAATGTGAGAATTATTTCTTAACAAATCCCCTTGTAATGGTTGAGATCCTAGCGTTCATTCGTATTTATTTTGGAAGCTGGCACCCATTGCTTACAGAACTGGTTATAAAACTGACAGTCTGCTCCAGTGGAACTCAGGCAGGTGTTATTAACTTTACCTGAATTGATCTCAACTAGATCACTGTCAGGGATGATGTCGTAACAATTGATTTTTTCTTTCCAGCTCTGAGAGAATTATCAGTTTACTTATTTCCATCTCTCCACAGTCTTTTTCCCCGCTTTTGCTTGCAGCTTTACGACATCTCTTTCTTCTTGCTTTCTCATTTCAATGTGTATAGTATGCTTTGAAGCACAATGTTTGGAGAGGAAAGGCAATGGGAGTTAGTGGTCTCAAAAACAACTCATCCAAGCCCATACACATGACAGCTACAGAAGATGTTTAAACAGGCTGTGGGAAAGAAGGGCATACTCTCTGAACATGATGCATTTCAACCATGTGTCCCCCAAAATTCACATGTTGAAGTGTAACCCCCAATGCAACCAAATTGAAAGATATGCTATGCTATGCTTAGTCGCTCATTCATGTCCGATTCTTGTGATCCCATGGACTGTATCCCACCAGGCTCCTCTGTCCATGGGATTCTCTAGGCAAGAGTGGGTAGCCGTTCCCTCCTCCAGAGGATCTTCCCGACCCAGGGATTGAACCTGTGCCTTCTGTGTCTCCTGAATAGCAGGCGGACTCTTTACCGCTGAGTCACTGGGGAAGCCCCAGTTGAGAGACAGGGCCTTTAAAAGTACGTAAGGTTAAGTGAGGAGGTAAGGGTGAGTTCTAATCCAATAGGAATAGCGTCCTTATAGGAAGAGGAAGAGATGCCAGGGGTGCACAAACACAGAGCAAGGCGCGAGAAACCAAGCCTGCCAGCACCTCGATCTTGGACTTCCAGCCTCCAGACTAGGAGAACATGACTTTCTCTGTTTAAGCCACTCAGTCTGGGGGCTCTTGGTGCAGCAGCCCAGGCTAATCCCCTGCCTGCACAGGCCCCTTGGGGCAGTAACCCTGTGCTATGGCCTTTCCTAATGGCTCAGGAAAATAGTTCTCCTCTCAGGAGGAGGGTGTACGAGGCACCAGGATGCACATTCCAAGCATGCACACCCGGTTGCCCAAAGCTAGACTTTACACCTGCCTCTCCTTCCACGCTCACCTGCGTCAGGAGCCAGTGCAGAAACACAGGCCTCACAGGGGAAGATGGAGCTGGCAATCTTCATCTCTCCGGGAGGGCGGGTCCTAGTCCTGCAGTTTCCAAGCACCATGACCTTGGGCACTGTGACCTTGGGCAGTGCAGTTTCTATAGACTCCACTGTTATTGTCTCATTATCTGGACAATAGGGAGAATAATATGGGTTATCACATATCTGTTGCTACAATAATCTAATAGACTAATGAATGTATGAAAGTATTTTGTATGATGTATAGTTCAACACACAGAGTAACATGGAAATTTACACTAGCATCTGTAAAATAGATAGCCAATGGGAATTTGCTGAATGACTCAGGGGACTCAAACAGGGGCTCTGTGACAATCTAGAAGGTGGGGAGGGGAGGGAGATGGGAAGGAGGCCTGGGAGGGAGGGGACATGGGTGTACCCATGGCTGATTCTTACTGATGTGTGACAGAAAGCCACAAAAGTCTGTAAAGCAATTATCCTTCAATTAAAAAAGAAATAAAGTGGCAAAAAAAACCCACATAGATCAACTATCAACTACTAACAGGCATACCAAGACTCTGATAGTAGAGGATTATAAAAGTCACTCTGTAACCTTAGGAGGAAAATTCAGCAATTTATATTTTAAACTGGAGACTGTCAGTGGGAGTAGGGATCAGCTATTCCGCTGGCTAGAAATTATATTTATTTTTTAACAAAAACAGATGTTCTGTGCTAACAAGAGGTCTAATTAAGAGTGACTCCTGCAGATGTAGGCATGAACTAGGATAAATTTTAAATAATTCAAGGTATGGGGAAATCTGGCTCCGTAAAGGATAGGGCTCCAGACTCAAAGTCCAAAGTCAGAATCCCATTTTCACCTTTTCTTCACAAATTGTAAAGTATAAAACACAGGTTTTCCTGGTGGCTCAGACAGTAAAGAGTCTGCCTGTGATGTGGGCGACTGAGGTTCGATCCCTGGGTCAGGAATATCCCCTGGAGAAGGGAGGCAACCTGCCCTGCTATTTTCGCCTGGAGAATTCCATGGACAGAGGAGCCTGGCGGGCTACAATCCATAGTGTCACAAAGAGTCAAACACGACTGATACTTTTCACTTTATAAACTGTGTTGTGGGCAGGTTATTTAATCTTCCTAAGGCCCATAAGTTGAAGGTTACATAAAATAATGTGTCCATATAAGAACTACTATCATACTTTTTATATAGGGAATACAAAAAGCTAAATACAAAATATTTAATACAAACACAAAAAATTAAAGTTTTTTAAATTAAAAAAAAATTTTATTGGGATACAGTTGCTTTACAAAGTTGTGCTGCTTTCTACTGTACAACGAAGTGAGTCAGCTGTGTGTATACAAATGTTCCCTCCCCCTTGAATACATGTGTGTGTCCTCCCCACCAATCCCACTCTTAAAGGTCCCCGCAGAGCACCAGGCTGGGCCCCCTCTGCCATACAGCAGACTCCCACGGCTATCCATCTGATGTACGACAGTGTATGATCAGTCCATTCTTTCTTGTCACAGCTCTGCCGGGAACCATGAACTCACTGTGAGACCTTGAACTCACTCTTCCTCAGTCCTCATTTGATCTGGTTCCTGGGACTTCCTGCTCTTCCAACACACTGCGATTTTAAAACAGTGATCATTGTGGTTCTGTCACGAGGCTGATCCAAGCTTCTTATGTAACTGTGAAATAAGACTTACAAATCAGGGCTAAACAGACAAACAACAAAAACAATGAGTGGATTTAAAAATGGCTTTTGGTAAAAATGTTCTACAGAACCATAAATGGGAAACTGTGTCTCATGAACCTAAATATTTCCTTGAATTGGCCATTCAAAAAATGTTTATCGCATACCTACTGTGTGCAGAGCCAGTTCTAGAAGCTGGGGATGTCCCCGGGGCAAAGCCTGCTTTGAGGAGCCCACGTATGGGACTGCAGGGTTTAGAGCAACTCCTATTGTCTGGAGCATAGGACTTGAGAACAGATCAGAGGAGAACCAGCCAAGTGCTGAGAGGAGGGTAAAGATGTGGGGTTGGATACGGGTCCCTAACAGTTCATGGAGAGGGCTTCCCTGATGGCTAGACAGTAAAGAATCTGCCTGCAATGCAGGAGACCTGGGTTCAATCCCTGCGTGGGGAAGATCCCCTGGAGAAGGGCATGGCTCCCCACTCCGGTATTCTTGCCTGGAGAATCCCATGGACAGAGGAGCCTGATGGGCTGCAGTCCATGGGGTCGCAGAGTCAGACACGACTGAGCGACTATCACTTTCCTTAATATTTATGAGGCAGAACAAATTCCACATGAGCGCAGCTCCGCTGGCCTGGGGCTGTCAACAGAGGAACCAAAGCCACTGTCCTAGTGAGGGGCCTGGGGGCACCCCTCCCAACCATGACCCCCAAAGTCTGTCCAGAATCACTCTGTTTCTGAAGCCACCATCAGGCAAAATGAGTCCAGTAATGAAATCAGTCCTCTGAGGTGTGTGCTTTCCTTTCCCCTCATCTGTGAAACGAGTCTGACCTCACAGGGTTTTTCTAGAAACAAAATTAGATAATATATGTTAAAGCTGCTCAGAGAAGCCGCACGAATGAAAGCTCTCCTCACGGCTGCCACCGTTTGTCTCCACAGGATGCCCCACGTGGCACGACCCACTCCAGCCTGCTTCTGCAGCAGATGGCTGCCAGAAATACCAATTGCAGCAATTTTTCCAGCCATCCTTCAGATTCCGTTTAGTGCTCATTATCACCTTTGTTGACTTAGCCCAGCTGCAGGCGCCGGCAGCTCCATCATCCTGTCCCCAGTGCTTGGCTGGGCGATCTGTGGTTTCAGAGGAGGAGGACGGGGGGTTAGGAAGGCAAGGGCGGGAGCAGCCGGCGCCCCCAGGGCGGTCTCCTTTCCGCACCTCGGGGTCCTGACCCGGTGCCCACAGAGGAGGGGAGGAACAGGTTCGCGGGATCCTGGGATGGGGGACCGGCGGCTCTGCAGTCTGCATTTGTAATCAGGAGAGGAGAGCTTCAGCAGGAATAGAGATGCAGACGGACGTGGACAGCGGACTCGTGGGCTCAGGGTGGGCGCGGGGAGAAGAGGGGGGCGTGTGAGACACTGTGGTGGTATGTCCACCACAGTCGGGTCCAATTCTTGTGACCCCATGGACGGTAGCCTGCCAGGCTCCTCCATCCATGGGATTCTCCAGGCAAGAATACTGGAGTGGGTTGCGGTTTCCTTTTCCAGGGGATCTTCCCGACCCCTGGATCGAACCCGGGTCTCCTGCATTGCAGGCTGATTCTTTACCAACTGAGCCACCGGGGACTCCCCTGTGAGAGCCTGCCCTGCGCGCAGCGGAGAACCAGCAGGAAGCCTCTCTAAAGCTCCGCTCACTGTGCTCCGTGACAACCTGGCGGGGAGGCGGAGGGTGGTCCAGGAGGGACGGGATATAAGGACACATGCAGCTGAGCCACACGGTTCTACAGCAGAAACCAACACAATGGTGTAATTATACTCCTGTTAAAACACAAATTAGGGGGGGAAAAAAAGGAGAGAGAAAAAAACTTCAGCAGTGCCAGCCATCGCTTCCATCGGAGGACTCTGGCTGTAGGGGTTTAGAAGCAGTGTGATGCAGCCTCCCTGCGTTAGGGAGCAGTCTGTGCCAGACTCTCCGCAGGCACTTTACAGACTGCCTGCACTCAAATGCCAGCCTTGCCCATCCCCACCTGTGTGACCTTGAGGATGTCACTTTGCCTCTCTCTGCCTCAATCTCCTCCCATGTAAAATGTTTTTGTGAGGGATGTTTGAAATATTATATAAATATATAACATGTGAAATGTATATCGATGTAAGATATATAAACATTAATTAAAATGTAAAATAGATGCTAGATAATATATAAAATCTACATGCATTTATAAAACTTGGAAAAATGTCAAGGACATAGATACCATATTCAGCATTGTTATTCATTATTATCGTCATTAATCATCATTATTATTATAAATTATCATTCTTACTATGTGCATTTCTTATCGTTGCAGTAACAAATGACCACAGATTTAGTGGCTTAAAACAGCACAAACTTGTTATCTTACATCCTGGGGGTCAGAAGTCCTAGACTCAAGGAGTCAGCAGAGGTGTGCTCCTTCCAGAAGCTCCAAGGGAGAATTCATTCCTTGCCTCTTCCACCGCCTGGAGTCTGCCTGCAGCCCTGGGCTCCTGGCTCCTTCCTTGATTTATCCAACTTCACTTCCATTGTCACATCCCCTTCTCTGACACTGACCCTCCTTCCACTGTCTTACGTGGACTCCCGTGATTATGTTGGGCCCATCAGAGAAATTCAGGATGATCTTCCCGTCTCAAGATCCTTCATCCCATAGCCAAGTGCTTTTTGCCATGGAAGGTAACATAGTCACAGATTCTGGGATAAGGATGTAGACGTGCCTGAGGGACCAGTATTTCCCAAGAGTGAAGTATTTGTATGGGGATTTTACAGCAAGGGGCTGAGACTTGGAGGAGTTACAAAAAGCTCAGCGTGCTAATATAGGGTGCTCTCCTTATAAAACCCATATTCTTTGTACCAGCATCTTCTAGCCATGGAAATGGAAGCTCTGAGTCCGCTTCCTAGCTCTGCTACCGTGCTGCCAGTGGCTATGGGTTACTGAGGGATGCCAGTGAGAGAATGACTGTGAAGTGGATCTGAATGCTGCTTCACAGGTACAGGCAGCTCTGTTCCCTGTGTGGGTGTCCAGATGGGAAAACCAAGGTTCAGGGAGCTGAGTGATTTGCCAAAGATGGCCAGTAGGTAAATGGTAGGACCAAGATTTCACCTTAAATTTGCTTGATTCCAAGGCAAGTAACATCTTCATTCAGTAGAAATGATTAAAGGACCATTGCAAAAGAAATGTGGTTTTGTGACTCTCAAGTTGAGGACATAAGGTGTAACCTTTTAATGTGCTCCAGTACATAACCTTGAGAGCACAGAACATAAATTGCTTCTATTCAGTCTTGCTCTTTATACAGTAAAACCTTCATACTTTCAGCATGGAGAAAGTTGAGATGCACTTCCTGCATTTGACTGAAGCTGATTTTTTTTTCATTTATTTTTATTAGTTGGAGGCTAATTACTTTACAATATTGTAGTGGTTTTGCCATACATTGACATGAATCAGCCATGGATTTACATGTGTTCCCCATCCCGATCCCCCCTCCCACCTCCCTCCCCATCCCATCCCTCTGGGTCTTCCCAGTGCACCAGCCCTGAGCACTTGTCTCATGCATCCAACCTGGGCTGGTGATCTGTTTCACCCTTGATAGTATACTTGTTTCAATGTTGTTCTCTCAGAACATCCCACGCTCGCCTTCTCCCACAGAGTCCAAAAGTCTGAAAAAGAATGGAACTGGAGGAATCAGCCTGCCTGACTTCAGGCTCTACTACAAAGCCACAGTCATCAAGACAGTATGGTACTGGCACAAAGACAGAAATATAGATCAGTGGAACAGAATAGAAAGCCCAGAGATAAATCCATGTACCTGTGGACACCTTATCTTCGACAAAGGAGGCAAGGATATACAATGGAAAAAAGACAACCTCTTTAACAAGTGGTGCTGGGAAAACTGGCCAACCACTTGTAAAAGAATGAAACTAGAACACTTTCTAACACCATACACAAAAATAAACTCAAAATGGATTAAAGATCTAAATATAAGACCAGAAACTATAAAACTCCTAGAGGAGAACATAGGCAAAACACTCTCTGACATAAATCACAGCAGGATCCTCTATGACCCACCTCCCAGAATATTGGAAATAAAAGCAAAAATAAACAAATGGGACCTAATGAAACTTGAAGCTGAATTTTTTTAACTTACTGCACCCACACATAACAGACCCCCTCCTCTATTTCTGTTTGTCTTATCAAACCACATGGTGTAAGCTCTCTAGGGCACAGCTGCCTTCCAGAGGCTGTTCCTGCTTCATCTGTGCTCCTGGTTTTAGCAACTCATCCATATGCCTACTTTGTGTAGCAGAAACCGACTTTGTCATAAACTTATGTATTATGCTGAGGGAAGGAGAAGGAAGCCCTGCCCTAATATATGGAAGACTGTGTATGACACTGGTTAACAGCTTTGGCTTTGGTAGGAGACAAACTTAGATGCAAGCACCAGTCTGCCTCTAAGTAGTTCGGACCACTAGGTGTGATCGTGGACAGCTAAGCCAATCACTCTGGGTCCCAGTTTTCTCATCTGTAAAAAAGAAGATAACCATCTCTCCCTCACTTGATTTTTCTGATTAAATAATATATGTAAACCACTTAGCACAGGCCTGACACCATAGCAAGCACAGAATAAAAGACCTCTTTTATTTCTTCTGATAAAACTCCTTCGTTCTCATCGGAATTAATTTAACTTCTCTTAGTACCAATCACAGAACACAGTGGCCACAATCATTGGCCTCAGCATGTAAAGAAGAACCAGGCAGTCATCAGGTCTTTCATCTATCCTAATAGCACAGTTAGACAAAATCATTTCCTCCTTTAGACCCTAATTTTTAATCTGCAATAAAATGTGGTTTCTGCATTCAGTTCTGACTAAAATACCAGTTCTTAGTCATCTGTCAATACCATCTTCTTTAAACCTTAAAAACAATGATCCTTCATCAAAAAGTTTTTACCAAGTATCCTGACTGAAACCATACTGACACAGGACATTCTACCCTAATGAATAATTTGTGACCCTAGCAAAAGCTGTAACTTCAATCTCCTTCTGAGAAGGAAGCATTCCCATCTAGATCCTGAGAGAATGGGAGGGGTTAGTAGCCTGGGAAAGCAATTAGACTTAGCTTTGATTGCCTCCCACCAAATGGTCACACAGGGTGATGCCATAGCAATCAGGTGAATCCAGCTCTGGGAATAAAGATACAGAGTAATTATCCTTGGAACAGCTCCAGACATTGCAATGTAATTCAATACAAATATTCCAGTGGAAC